AAACATGAAAACCTGAAAAGTAAAAAACTACAAAAAAAAGAGTTCTATTGAATAATAGATGAACAATGAAATGTTTTTTTGGATTAAAAACACGCGTCGAATGGTGAACATAAAAAAGGGTTTCATTTGCTTGATTCACCCACAACAGCAATTAAATATTGTAATCCAATCAAAGCCAATTACATTCACTTTTATTAACAGTTGAACAAAAAACTAAAGTGAATTAGTTTTACTCTTGGATTGAAGTTTATTAGGAATGATATTCAATACAAACAAATGTTCAATTGATATGAAACTAAATATTAACAGCAAAAAGTTATTTCGTTGATTCAAATTATCAGTTCAATCAATCATTCACATTGATTCTTATTCTTTAATCCTTTTCTTACTTTCAATGAATATAAATGAATGTTTGGCCACAATTTAACAAAGTAAATCATTTTCATCATCACTCATAATGTGACAATGGAAACCATGAAATGGGTTCTGAGGGTTCTAAGGGTTCTATTCATGAATTCAATGTCAATGTTAATTTGAATAAATTGATCAATCAAGATTAATTGTCCCTTTGAGTTTACATCGGTAACAAATAAACACTTGAAACTCAAGACTCGAAACGAGAAAAACTTTAGTTTTATGTTTCATTTTCATTTATTTAACACTTTTTTTCAACTTTTTTTATTTTCTTCAATTTTCATATTTAATCAAATAAATTGATGCCAATTCTTGGAATCAACTCAAGTTCTGAGTGAATCAGGAGAAAACAAAGTCTCATGTGAATTAACTGAATAATGTTTGATTAATTTGTCAATTAAAATGATTTCCATAAACATCTGATTCTTATTCAAATCATGAACAACATTTAAGTGTAAAATGTCAAAATACTAATCACATTCACAAGTCGAGTTCAAGTCAAGTTCAACTTGAAGTATAATTGAAATAATATGAAGCTAATTATTGAAAGTAACTAATTTATGAGTTGAATTATTATTCGTATTTTGATTCCCATAAACTGGGAGTTTTTTGTGGGAGGGAAAAGATAATAAAAAATAACAAAAAGAGTGACAAGGAAAAGAAAGAAACTTTTTATTCTAATAAAATGAAAGTACGCAGGACAATGAAAGTGAAGGAGGATGAAGATGATGAGGATAAGGATGATGAAGACGAAGCTGGGAATGATATAAATAAATAGAGTCACTAGTTGCTTTTGTATTCATTTTGTGACTAACAAGGAAAGTCTAACATTGAAAATGGCAATTGCTATTGATACGAATAACATTGTTTTCAGTAAAAAGTTATCTTCTAATTCATCTTCATCAAGTCGCTCAAATTCAACATCAACATCATCTGGTCAATCATCGAGTTCATCATCAGTTCGATTTTCAGTTCCACATTCACCTTCACCTTCATCACTTCCATCATCGACTGTTTCTTCATATTCACCAACAACATCAAGGAGTTCAACTGGTTTGATCAAAGACGAAACTCATTCAATCCCTGAAATGTTATTAAACTTGCCTTCAGTTTTGGTAAAAAGTATGATTCAAGGAACAATTAATTTCTTCAATAATTTGGTCAACAATTTCCTCGACTATTTACCTTATTCAATGATCAACCATCATCATCATGGAATCACAATCAACTTTTGCTTTCAATTTCATTCCATTTTGTGTCCATTCAGATCGAGATTCATGCTGAAAAGGATCAACATTTCATCAACATCTTCCCCTTTCCTTTCCTCATCATCTTCATCATGCTCATCATGTTCAAATGGACAAACAAACAAGATCAATTTACCCGATGTTATTCCTATTAATGATTCCAAAAGACGATCAAATGTTCAATTTAAAAGTTCATCAACACTGATCATTGATGTTGCCTCAACACTTCGAGATGTAAGCAATAAGTTCAACTCAGATCACTTGAGATCGACATAAAGATAATTCATTGATCACTCGATATTGACTCGCAATTGTCTAGTCAATTGTTTATTTTGTATCCACAACATTTCATACTCAATCATGTAAAATAAATTTCACTTGAAATCCAAATAAATTGTTTATTCAAATTCATTTCGTGTTCCTATTCAAAAGAATCTGCATGAAGCTCTGAATAATCCTAAGTTCATCTCACCTCATCTCAACTGAACTGAACTTGAAAAAGATTCAAAGAGATGAGTGAAAGCGCCATCTATCAAGCAACTGAAACAAACGACTGAAATCCTATAAATGATGTTATAGGATGAAAGGTCAACACAAAGAAGATGAAAGCAAAGATTATAATCAGATTAAATCATTTGTTAATCTGTCAATTGCATGTAAATGGTCAACGAATCATCAGATTATTGGTCAATAAATAATCCAAAGGATTATTTGATAATCTCATGTTTAACCAACAAAACTTATTGTTAGTCAATTATTTATTTGCATGATAATGAACATCATTTCAATCGACATCTGAATGTAAACTCAGGCAATTCATGATCAACAGGGTTCTTCCCTTTACTTTACATCATCTGGATACTTCTTGTTAAATGTAACCAAAAAAGTCTTTCAATTATTTTCTTGTCAAAAGATTAGATTCATTTTACATTAAATAATGCAATGGTAATGATGTTGAGGTTGAGGTTGAAGTTGATGTAAGGTTAATGTTATAACCATAAATGGGTTTTCATTGAGAAAAACATTTAATTGATAAATTCAATTTCAATACTTTTCTGTTTACTTTTCTTCATTTAATGTAATCAAAGTGAATGCAGTTAATTAATTGGCTTTCAGTTTCATCCGATTCATTATCTGAAAGAAAAGAGAAAAAAAAGAAAAGAAAAAATGAAATGTTAATAAAAGTTGGACAAATAATGTTACTTGAACAATCTCATTGCATTCAATAGATTCATGTTGTGATCAAATTAGATGACATTTTTTATCTCAATTAACTAATAGTTTAGTCCATCATTTTCATGATAACATTCACATCATGAACAGCAAGAGGTAAATTGTGTTTAATCAAGAAAACAACTGAAATTAATTAACATTAAGAACAGTGAAACTCTTTTAATCAAACAAATTATATAACAAGCAAACAACTGGTTCATGATAAAATCATTTAATCTTACATTTTAAGCATTAACATTGAAAAATGAATACAAACCGTGAGACTGTTTTTTATGCCAATTGACTAGAGTTGTAAGGAAAGAGGTTCAGTCTTATCATGCTTATTAATCCGTTGCATTTAAATATCGACCCAAAAGATTGTTATTTTAACCAATTTTGCACTTTCATTGAGTTGCTTATAAAGAAGGAGTTGGCAGGCGAAATTATCTCAATCTTTTCATTACAACAATAAATAACATAAAATGTCAATTGAATCAACGGGTAAGTCGATAGTCACTTGGATAACTTTAATTAACAGCAGCATAAACTATGTCCAATTGGTTCGACTCGTTCCCATGCCTTAGGGTGGACCAGGAATCACATTAAATCATTGAATCTATTAAAAAACGAGTTGAAAAAAGTGGAGAGTAAAGAGGAAGATTAAAAAGTGTTTATGGGAAGATGAAAGTTGACTTGACTTGACTTGATTAAACTGTGACCATCAATGGATCAACTGTTCAACCAGATTAAATGGGTTAAAATATGCAAAATTTAAAATCAATTGGTGATAATCAGGAAAACGAAATGACAAAAGACTAATCAATTGGATTAATGTTGATCATCATAAACAGATATACTTAATGGAGATCAAGTGTTCATTGATTCGTGTTCATTTCTTGTTTGTATTGTTTGATAGGCAATTAATCATCCATCTTTTGGTGTTTAACTTGAACCAACTCAAGTCAACTCAACTCAAATCAGATTGTAAAGTTCATAAAAACACTAGAAAAATTCAAAAGAAAAAAAAGTTCAACTCATTTTAAATGCAAAATTTACAACAAAATGTTATTCTGTTAAAGTCAACTTTTTTTGTATTTTTCCCTTCAACTTCCGTATTTTACAAATGAGTTGACTTGATAAGTCAACTTAATGTTATCTAATAGTCGACTTGATCACATGGAAAAAAGTCGAGCTTCCAATGGATCACTAAACATAACCGGAATCCTGAGATTAATCATCAAGTGGCATTAGTTGTATAAGATAATGGCTACTGTGAATAATCAAATTCATTGCATGTAAAAAGTGTTGTGTCTTTAAGGGTTCATCATCAACTGGAAAACACTTATCATTATCATCACTTTACTCAATCATTTTTTACCCATTTCAACATTAAAACACTGCCGAGTAAATGTTATTCCTGACACCAAATGGGAAGATGAAAGAGTATGAATGAAAAATGATTGTTGACCACCACAATGGTCACTATTAATACCTTCCAACATTGTAAACATTGAAATGATCAAATGGTCAAATCAAAGATGCAGCTAAAGACACTTAATATTTTCCCTCATTGTTCACCTAAAAAATGCACACATTTCTCTTAATAACAAATCATTTAGACTAATGATGTTATTAATGAAATAACAACAAATTAACAAACCGCACATTTTTCATCCTCTTCTTGGACCTTACAAAAAATGCATCTAATTGCAGTTAATGTAATGGACCTTTCCTCGATTCCTCGATTTATCCATTATTTCACTTTTGCCTTCCATGAATCACCATTCTCCTCCTTTTGTTGTCTTCAGTAACTTTCCAATGATAATAATATAACAGTAAAAAAGGTTAAAATAATGTGTTGATCCATTTGTTAGGAAGACTGAAAGAAAAGAAAGAAAAGAAAGAAAATATTAGAACTTAATAGCTATTTACTTTTAACCACTAGAATTATCATTTTGTAGTTGAGATCAAATTTTAGGGTCAGTCAAGGGAAAGATGAACAAACAAGGGACTCTTGTATAATGATAATGACTTATATTGGACTATTATTAACATTAAATATACTGTTAACTTGTAAAGAATAGGCGAGCTATTAGTATTACAAAAAAACGAAGATAAATATCACAATTAAGAGAATGTCAAGTAGTAGTTGTTAATGGTTAATCTCAAGCTGATGACAATATTAATGAACAAAACTTATTTAACGACAAAAACAAAATAGTAAAAAAAGATGAAATACCATCTAAAAAACAAGAATCTGTCTTGGAAATAGACGAAGATGAAACCATCGAGTCACATTATATCGAGATTACTGCAACAATTGCTCGATTTTCAGTTTAAGCAGCGACACGTTATATGGAGTTTTGCAAAATTTTGGCGAGCCATCTGAACGTTTCTTTGTTGATGGTCGGCGGTAAAATGGTCCACTTTTTACAGGCAAACAGTCGATGTATGTTTTTATTATCTTGTAATATGAATTGGGCTCGCCAACATCGTAAAGGTCGATCACAGCTTGAAGCATTTTCTTGCTAACTGAATAATCCTTACTTTTAAAAAGAGGTGAGCGATATTCAACAAAGTGGTTTCCATCTTTGTCTCGAAGAAAGGAAAATTGGTCAACTTTTAAAGACCGATGATCTGACTTTGGAAGATTTAAAAATTTTAAATTATAAAAATAAACGGCAAACAAGAGTCCTCGAGCAGTGGTTAAATTAAACACTCCGGTGCACCAGAGACGATTTTCATCGCGAGCATCCAGATGCATAATTAAATTGTCATCGCGAGATGACATTTCATCATATTTATCAAGAAAACGTTTGATTGATGGATAGATGGATGAACGTTTATCTAAAAATGGTGGTCCATGGAAATTGCAAACCTCCTCACAGTAAACATGGAGACTTGAAAGGATCATCTTGACACTGCCCTTAGAGTACCGACGTCCATCATTACGTTTAAGACTTTCCACAAATTTCGGGATCCAATTTCGTAACTCTTCTTCGGTCACTGTAGGATCCAATGGTCGAGGTCTGGTGAGTGACTTTGAGGTATCCTTTTCGTCGTAAGCTACTGAAACACACCAGTCATTCCATTGTTCCACGGTCCATTTCCTGTATCGATCATAGCTTGATCGTTTCTTTTTAACACTTCGGATCATTGACCAAACGATAAGTAAAAAAAGTCGCCTGAAAAAAAAGAAAAAAGATAGAAGAAAAAAAGTCAAAAAAGCACGATTAAGTTATGATGTATTACTAGAGATTTAATTTGGCGTTTTATACTGACTTTTATAGTAAAATTAATTTGTGAATAGAAGAATAGTAAACTGATGAGACATCATTTGCTGGAATTTTCCCAAGAAAATTCACAAATTCGAATGTTGAGTAATTGACGAACAAAGAACTGGCTTATCTTTGGATCCGAAACACAATGGCAGCTGATAGTTGGCTAACGCTGAAAAAGTGCGAGATAAAAATGAAATCTAACTCTTTTGACTAAATGACACACCGATCCTTACATAATGGAATGAAAACAATGAAATTGTTTGATTCTTTTATTCAACTAATTTCATTTTAATGAAATCAATCAATCATGATTTACAAAGTAATTTTAGTTACAGGATTCGACAAAATTCCTTATTCACTACCAGTTCAAATGTGATTACATTTTTTCAAGTTTACTTTTGTTTTCTCATTTAATTGCAGCAAATGATTTCTATTGAAGGTGAAGACAAAAAATGTTGTCAATGAAAGGTCAAAGAATAATGAAAAGATTACTTTAGATGAAACTCGATTCAGAGGTAGATCTGAATGATTGAGTCTCGTCCATGACTAAGGATAACTTGACACTTGACTTTCATGATGAACTATAAAAATGTCTCAGTCGCTTTTATATTGAACAATATCAATGATCACATCGTGAGAAGCTATTTTACTTTAATCATGTTTAACATTTTAATGTTTAAAGGCGTTCGATTCATTTTTTATGCCCTAATCACAATCATATTATTAAGTATGCTTTACAGTCTGAAGCCGATGTTATTTGAATAAGGTCAATGAGATACACATTTAAGCCACCATAAAACATACTTTATTCAATAGATTTGGTCAATTGTACAATTATATCTTTTTCATGATTTTTCAATCAGTTAACCCTCGAAATTGATGACAATGATGAGTGTGATGAGTGCGATGAGTAGGATCAAGATGATGACGATGATGATGATGATCAGGTTGAGTATGATCAAAGTCATCATCATTTGATTATTGCATGAGATGATTCTTAAGTTGATCACCTTCTTTATTATCGGAATCATTTTTATGTTCACAACCTTATGCTTAACACATAAAAATATATTCAACTTGTATTTGCTCAACATTATCATTATATAAATATCGTTAATCAAGAAAAGAGGAAAACCATTTATTGGTTTCTCCTTCATAAATTAAATTAAAGCTTGAGAAAAAAAAGATCAATAATAAGGTGAATTGTAAGTTCCTTTGGTTTGTAACAATTAACCAAATGCACAAAAAGTACATATAAATGTATATAAAAAAAGGAAAACATAAATTTCTTGTTTCACTGTCAATGGATTAACGCTGTTTTAATGGCAATGAGAACTGGATCAGTAAAGATTATCATTCATATCAATATATATTTACAAAGGCTTTCAATGAATGTGAATAGATATCATTTCAAATCATCTATCTGATCAATAAGTTTCATTTCAATTCAATCTTACTCTTATATCTCTTCACTTTATTCCTATCAATATGTTCAACTTGTTCATTCATGTTTGACTTTACTTTACTTGACTTAACACATTAACTTTGGTTGTTGCTTTACCAAGTTAACCTCAACTTGTGTTTACTCAGGCTGTTACTCAAGTTAATAGTGATTAGTAACAATTAAACAAACAATGAGCAATAATAAGCAACAAAAAGTGACAAAATACAACAAGAAGAGCGTTAATATAAAAAATAAATGTCAATCTTCAGTTAAATTATTAGTCGATTTGTTACTCATGAGACTCATGTTTTTTAATAGTTACTTTTTATTTCTGATTTTCTCTTTTTCTTTAATCATAATTATCATTAATGTTATTGCTTTTATTATCATTATTATTATTGCCTTTGTTCAAATAATCAAAGCTGTAATATCTTTTCTTAACATTTAAACGATTTAACAGACTTTTTCATAATATCGATGAGAACTTGAGAAAATTTGAAATCATTTCTTGGAATTGAAAATCCTCAACACTTCAAAAAGACTTATTTTTACACAAAATTCCTTCAATTTTACCAATAAACTGGACATGGTTAACAATCTGTAAATTGTTAATGATCACTGAATATTTCAAATACAATTTGCTTCAACAATATTAATGCAAAAATTATTCCTTTAGAGCTTTCAATAACCGCAAATGGCTTTCAAAAGTCAATCCCAATATTTCTATCGACTACTTCTAATCATATGAACACAATTGAGTGTGAAAAAGAGGGTCCAGTTGTTTAAAGTGGTTATGTGAATAAAAGGACAAACATTTTGAATTAATGTTGAAAAAGTTGAGCTTCAAGTTGAAAGATATTTTTTAAGGAAACTGAATCTTCTCTAATATCCGGAGTTCCTAGAAGTCGATCGAAACTCATTTTTTTAGAGTGAAAAACGTAAAAAAATGAATCATCCTCTCTGACTAGAAATTAAGTTTAAAATGAATTGACCATAAACATCGAATTCACAAGTCCAAGTTGATGAGGACATTAAACATTGAATTGGATTGAATAGGTGATCTCTAACTCGAGTTAGGAATCGTATCTTGGAAATTTAAGCTCTAGATTCAGTGCTTAGTGAAGCGAAACCACATACGGTCAAGAAATCATGCTTGTGAAATTAACTGAATTTGCGATTTGACTTTGTTTTGAGCAAATGAATGTTGATTTGTGAATTGTCCTGAGATCGTTTCAATCGAAGGTAATTTCCATTCCTTTCCTTGCAAACAATAAATTATGTGGCCCATGACCATCGATGAAAGATCTATGCCTAAAAAAAGATTGAAAACAAAATTAGTTCAATATTTTACAAAAGTTAGAAAACACATTTAAACAAGTGAATGAATAAAAGATTCAAATTTAAATTTTGGTCTCAAAATCCCAAATAGCCATGATCATTATTAAATTTAAACAAACACAAACACGGTTTGTTCCTATCAACACTTTAAACCAACTTAAAGACTCCATCGATTATCAAGTAGCCTCTCGATGTTAATATTAAATTACGATTTTAAATAATGTCTTTTTTCATTCAATACTTACTTACCATACTATTTTAAAATTGATGCGGATTCACCTATTTTATACGTAATAAATTTCTTCATGTCAATCACATAACTACTTTGTATTAACTGTGAGCCAAAATTGTTTCTAAAAAATGATGAAAAAATGTAAGTAAGTTAAATGAATGAATAAAAATAACATTATCAACTAACCTTGCATCAATTCAATCAGCTTTTTGAATCACCTCATTTGCCCTTTTTATTAAAAAAGGTTGTCCAAGAGGAAATCATTTCATCAAATTTATTACATCTTTTTTTGTGTAAAAATATAAAAAATTCATTGACTCCAATGATTCAACTTTTTTTCTGCTCATCATTACACGTAATTGTTGCTCCTTTACAGTAAAATAACAATCACCTAAGAACCAATCTACAGAATGCAACTGAAAGACATAAATAGAGATACTTAGCGTTACTAAAAATCATTGATGACTTTTTCAAAGTGATGCAAGTAATAAAAAGCAAGAAAAAAATGTTGTTATAAAAACATACAACACAACACAATGTTGATTACCTTTGGGATTGAATTCCCTCACTTTTTTGTTTACTGGTATTGACTAGACTTTTACAAACCAACAATCCTTATTGTGTCACTTCAATTGAAAATAGGATTTCCACTGTTTTACCAGAAAGGAATCACTTGCTGATGAAAATGATGAAGATGTTGAAGATGATGGTGAAAGCCAAGGAAGCCTAAGTATCAATAAAAAAAAGAAAGAAAAAAACCAAATAAAATAAAGATGAGTTTAACTTGAATGTTGACTGTAAATTGTGTCATAATTTAGACTAAATTGTCCACATTTGAAACCTTAACATTATAATTGTCTTTATTACCAATAATAATGCTAATGATATATCAACTTACCCATCTCTCAGTGGATCAAAACCAATCAAAATAATACTTGTCCATTTGATTAAACTTATATTCACACTTGACTTGTTAAATAACATTAACGAACTAGAAGCATGAATGAATGACTGAAAAGGGAATAAAATAAAATTGAAATAAGATAATTGAGAAGGAAGTGAAGATAATTCAGAATAAACCGAAAAAATAAAATATCTTCTGATTAAAAGTAACGGAAAAATTATTACAGATGATCAGATGATAAAAGAAAGGATTTGAGATTGAATTGGTATTTAACTTCTTTTCACTAAATGTCACACTAATCCTTTAAATACCGAGCAATAGTTAGAGACAATTTTCAACGCAACGTTTCTCTAGTATTAAACAAAGGTCAACTAAAACAAAGACTTACTTACCCAACTGTAACTGTTACTTAATTTTAATGATTTCCATTTAATTATTGTGTTATGACTTCTTTTGTATTAAATAGTGTTAATTGTTAAACATTTGCTTTTAATGTGTTTTTGGTTAAGCAACTCATTTCAACCATATATCGATATTTTCCGGTTTAATCTTAAAAGGTAAGTAAAAGTCCATTAACTAAAACAATAAAAGTATGACCATTAGAAAAGATTAAAATGTTAAAGTATAACACAATTAAACATGTAATTAATTTTATTGTATCATTTGCACTTTCAGAAGACACCATTTGTTATGCTTGGACGAGTTGAACTTCTTTAGGTGCTACCACAAAAATAAAGAATCGGATATTTGAATTGAGGTAAGTATTGAAAGACTGACTAACGCTGGTATTGAGTTTCTCATGTCTATCAAACTTTCTTTTTTATAATAAACTTCACACATATCATGAAGTGTCTTTCATTCTTGATTAGCTATAATAATTGTTTCTATTTTTTATTATTTTCCAGTCAATTTCGATTCATTGTTGTATTAATCTATGATTCTTATTGGATACGCCTTAAAATATTATGACAATTGTGTTTTGATATCTTCAATGGACACTTATCAAGTTTTGGTGAATTACATTCTCATCCTTTTCTTATTACATATTCACTTATTCACTTGATGAATACATACAAGATGATGCTGATGATACTGATGAAGCTGATGAAGCTGATGAAGATAAAAATGTGGATGAAAATGAAGATGGCGAATGAGGATGTTTCTGGTTTAAACACGTTTGTTTGGATGAGATCGCTAAATAAGCACGTGACTTGTCACCAAAATGTCAAACGTTATCCTATTTGCATAGTTACTCCCTGTAGTGTTGGTTAAGAAACAGTTTACGGACAGTTTTTTGGACAAAACTGTTATTGTTATAATGATTATTATCATTATCCTTATCATCATTATAACTTCAGTTACTGTTGCTGTTATTTCATTATCATTATTCCTATTGGATTGACAAGAAGCAGTCTTAAGACATTCCTCTCCTTCTTGATGCTTATATTTTTTATGCTTTTATGCTTAAGCTTTATCTTTGAGTTGAATGACCATAAAAAACTGTACATCATAATGTTTGTCCTAATCTTGTCAATGTCCATACTTGTGAATCCATCTGAATATACTTTAATCTTGGTCAAGGGATGACCAAGGATAACTCAAAGAGAGCATATAAAAGGATACAAATAAAGGTCAATATTGTTATTGTTATCATCATCATCATCCTTATAATGCAATATTATCCTTACAATCAACTGTAAGTAGCATTACAAACAGAATTTTCAGTTAACAGAATTGAAGGAGAAAAGTGGTTTTTATGTTAATATAATTTATAAAATATTAATTCTGTTTATAAAGAGCATCAGAATAAGAGATAATGTGAAATAATGAAGAAAACAGAAGAAGCTAATTTGATATTTTTTTTGTTCATTAAGAAACTATTGGATTGTGACAAAAGTATCTTGTTATTATATTATTGTGTTACATGTTTTGATGTGTAAAACACCAATGATTAAGACGAAGATGAAGATGAAGAGACTGATGAAGATGATGATGATGACAATAAATTGTGTTATGATATTAATTCTGAGAAAAGAGTCAATTCAGTATTTAACATGAATGGAGATGAATGTCGTCTTATTGATGATTATTGCCATTCATTTGTTATCTTGATTATTGTTTTGCCTCGTTTAACATTCAATCACAACTAACAATCTTATTCACTTGACTTGTATTATATTATATTTATATACTTGATTTAATACAACAAATTAAGTAAAAGGTTAAAAAATTGAAGTAAAATATTTATTATAATATCATATTGCAGTTGCTTGATTGATGATCAAATTTAACACAATCCTGATCACCATCACAATAATAATAACAATCATAATCATTAGCATTATTTGAGAGCATTTTTTGTTGATGTTTATCATGAGAAAAGAAGAAGAAGAAGAGAATCTTGTAAAAGCATAAAAAAGGGTCAATAAAAGGTCAATGTGAAATGAATGATGAAAAACAAAAAAAGTAAAGTTATTCTTGTTCCTTATTTTTTAACAAAAACATTCATCTTTTTTGTTTGTTTGACTCTCTTTGAACTGATGTTGAACATCATGTAAACTGATTCATCTGTTAATGATTACAAGATATAAACACTCAACATGACAACAAACAATAGTTAATGATAACAACACCATTCACCTCATAAATCGTTTATCGTTTTGTCCTTTAAAAGGGTTCTCATTGAAGTACTCATTGAATGAGATCAATTCACATACTCACGACACTCACATCGACACTCACCCTTAACTTTACCCTTAACTTTACCCTTAGTCTCACCCTTGGCCTTCCTCACTCTCCGTGACTCTTCCGGTGTATCATCATCATCATCATCATCTTCTCATCTCATCCTCATCTAAACTCCCAACTCCATTTACCTCTTTGTATAACTTTCCCTTACTCATTCATCTTCATTGCCGTTTAGTGTCTTTGATACTTTTTTAGATTCACAGATATTCCGATAATCAGCATTCACTGATTCAAGTAATCATCTTATTCCAATGGATTCACTTAGACATTTCCGTGAACAATCACAGACACACACTCAACTAGCCACTGGCAAAACAATATCATCATCATCATTAACATGATAGGGATAAATATTTTGTCACTACTAATGCCATTAATTTAGACACGTTTCCACTCACTTGAACGACTTTCCATCAAAAAGTCAATTTTTTCTCTATCAAAACCTTCTCGATAATCATCATCACCAACAGCTTATAAGAATTAAAACAAGTAGATAAGTCCGCTTCTGGCACAATCCTTCTCGAACAAATTGTTACCATATTTCGATGGACTTAATAAGTAACAAAGAAATCCTTAATTAGGGTTACCTAAATCACCTTCCTGTCCATTCTAGAACAGCGAAAATCTGTTCTGGAAAATTTGATCTTTGCGGTTCTTTTGATTCCACTGACAATTCAAGCCCTAAATTGAAGCTAAAGCTAATACTTGCTATAACTATACTTACCTTTGCAGAGCAATATTCAACGTAAAAGATTGTTATAAATGTTTAAAAAATACAGATCGAGATTGGAGCAAAACAAAAATATCATTTATGTAAATTGAGAAAGAGAGATTCATCGATTTGCATGAAATTAATGCAAAAATATGTTTTATTCAAAAGTAATTAGAAACTAATTGAAAGCTGGAGAATTGAATAAAATTAAATTACAGTAATCACTGGAATATCAAATTAAATTGTGCTAAATTATCGTTTCATTGGCTTAAATGTAAAACAAATCAACTTAATCTGTGAATCCATTTAGCAATGAAAATATGTTGAAAACAATTTAATTACAGACTAAATAAAAGCAAGTGTTAATAGCCTATCAGTTTCAACAATTTTCCCATCGCAATTGCCTGATGAATATGAAAACAACTTGAAAAAGTGATTCAATAGCTTGGTCCAATATTGATCAGGTAAAAGTTGATGCAAAAAAATAAAACTCTAAATGGCCAGTTTAAACGGTCAAATGTGAACAATATTTCATGAAAATCCAACAAATGTCCAGTTTTATTGCTCATTGTGATTATCTTTGCAGATAAAATGTCGATAAAAGCAGATTAACTGGAAACTTGAAATCAGGATTAACACTTGTTCAGTTGAATGGGATTCAGGCGCTTTAATCCAAACATGCAATCAATGCAAATGAAATTCACTCCCAGTTGACAGGGAATCTAGAAGGCAAATGAAATGTCAATCCAATGTTTGAAAACATTTCTTAAACTGTTTTCTTGAAAGGAAAAGGATAACTTTTATTATCAACTTTTATGTGAATGAAACATTACCCTTTGATCTTGTCCTAGTAAATTGTTGATTAGCATGAAGTCCATTTCAATTGGAATCATTTTAATCATCAATTCTGTTTCAACTTTTTTCTTCTTCTTCTTTTCATTTCCTTTTTTCATTTCCTTTTTCTTTTTTTCACCCTTTCAGTTAATCTCATTGATATTGTCCAATGTTGAAACTGATGTGATGAACCAATGGCTAACTGTCCAACTTACTGACAATGAAAATAATTTATCTTTCATTTTATTATTCACTCCATTCAATTACAAGTCAATTTTCCTATTTACCTAATCATTTTACATTCACAGTGATCATGGTTTTCATCTTTTCACTCCTTAATGGTTCCTCTTCTGTTCATCTAATCATTCTTACCATTCCCTTTTCTGGGCAACCATTTGGGACCAGTTCAATTTACTTGAATGGCAATGGTCAATCTTGAAATAATCTCTCGTTCCATCTCAATCAACATATCAACATGACCAACTGGTTACCATTATCGTAAAATTAGTTCAAGAAAAGGATGTTGACGATAAAAAGTGTCACATAAATATTACACGCTCAACATTGAATCACGATTAATCCAAATGCTGGACAAAACAGTTCCTCTTCAATTGTATGGAAAATGTTTCCTGGCCATTTCAAAGAAACTCAAATTTCCTGTTAATCTTAAAAATGCAAAAATTAACCAAACCTGAAAACTAATCGCATTCCCAGTCAAGAGTGCAAATTTCAGGCCACTCTCGATTCTTGACTTTCATTTGAAGAGAAAATTCATCTCAATTCAAACTCTTGCTTTGAGTTTCTACTTCTAAGAATAGAAATTTTCAGTTTCGATATCATTCCATTGTTCGATCTCAAAATTTGAGGCCATTTATCGAAATCTAGATTTCTATTCTGAATCAAAACTATTCATTAGACAAACTGTCCTTGCTTTTAAGAACACTTCATTGTCATTCCGTGTTCAGTTAACTTTTTTTCAGGATTGAAATTTTTCGATTCAACAAAAAGGTCCATCTCAGCATTTCTTTCAACGAAAGTGAAATTCCTAGAAAACTAAGAAGAACTAAAATTTCAAGCATTCTATTTCAAGAAATTGTGCTTTTTGGTGAAATACAAATCTTAAAGTCCAAAATAGACTTGAATTGTAAGATCGATTTGATGTTGAAACACAAGAGACTTAAATTTTGCTATCAATTTCATTGTCGCTCGAAACTATAAAATCACAAATCTGAATCAGCATTTAAACTTTTCTGAGCATATTTATAGAACTTTTTTGAGTTTTCGATTCTTTCCTAGATTTGATAAATTCATTGTAACACAAATTAACATTTTGGTGAGCCTTTAAGATTTGATTTTTGATCTTTTCTTTTTCACACCAACATTCAATTCTAGCTGGCAACAAAAGCAACAAATCAATTTATCTAACAAGCAAGTCTGGTTAAGATTGAAAAATGTCGACAAGTTTCAATTTAAAAGAGCCAAAGTCGATTAGTGTTGGTTCAGTGAACATGTAACGGTTAATTGTTGACTATAGTCGAGTTAATGATTGGCAAAAAAGCAGTCTCACCTTGCACACAGCCAGTGATTCAATGTAACCAGTTTTATGATAAGTCTCATAATTTTAAACTGTAAATGCATTGATTATCTTTTGGTGCCTTTTCAACACTGAGGCACACTTGTACACCAAAAGTGAAAGTAAAATCACAACAGTCAAGAAGGTAAATGTTATGGTGGGTGGGAAAGTGGGGTTAGTTGAATCAGTTTCTATTAGTTATACTCTGGTCTGTATAGTTATCAACAGATTCAATGTTTTTGTCGACTGTTGTTACCGTGAAAAAAGACTTGACTTTCCATTCATCATTTGTGGTTAAAATTATGAAAAGATTTCCTTTTCAATACAAAACTCTTATGTGACCAGTTTTTGCTTTGCCATCTCATCAAATTGTACAACAATTTCGAGTTGATCAACTAATCGTGTGAAGCAAGTTGGCCAATTAATTGTTACAAGTATTAACTTGTGAATCAAGATTTGATTAACTTGTCTTTAAGTTGCAAGATTTTCAATGTTTAAAGGCAAATGGAAAGGCGCTTCCCATAACAAACCTTTTATTTTGATTAATCAATCGATTCCTTTTTTCCCCTGTTAATAGTTCAAATCTAATTGATGATTTATGATCAGTTGTAGTTGGTGTTGGAAACAATTTGATTCGGGCAAAGAGTCGCATGGAAATTGAAAGTTTGCCTCATTTAGATGTCCGAGTGTTGAGTCTAATTTTTTTTGTTAAAACTGGACTTTATAGTTGCAAGATGGACACAGTGTAAACATTATTGATGATTATTTTAGATTAAGTGAAATGTTTGACTTGAA